GGAAATGACGTTCACGTCTATGCTGATGATGCAGACGTCGCCGGCCAATGGAGTGAAGGGGGGGATGTTTCTAACTTTCTATGATGAGTCAGGTTTGTAATCGGAGACACTGTAGAATGTTTCAAATGGAAATTGAAATGGAGAAAGCGAGAGATGTTTCTGTGAGAGGGAGATGAAAGAATCGATTTGCTTGGGAGAGAGATGAGAAGCCATAATCTGCCCTCCTCTTCATCGATTCATTCTCTCTGAGTGAAGGGGGGTGGGAGAGGGATGAGAGAAGTGAGGAATTGTGTAGATCTGAGGAGGTCAATCGTACGGTGTAGGAAAATGTGTAGGGATTTCGCTGATGAGAATCGCACGGGTGTTATAAAAGTTGGGTGAGCGGGAACCTCATGTTTTGGAATTGAAGTGCTATTAAGGAGAAGATTATACTCCTTCCGTTTGTTTGACACAGTTTGACTTGTCAAGAATTAAGAAAAAAAAAATTATTGAGAGATAAGTTTTACTGTTTTGACACTGTTTGAACAATGTTTGAACACTGTTTGATAACGCGGAGCCTGACGTAACCCATATAAAGATTTTTTGAGTCGACATACAAGACCGGGAGAACTGGGAGTGAAACCCGGTGGAAGTTTCATATAAACCTCGTCATCAAGATCCCCATGGAGGAACGCGTTATGAACGTCCATTTGATGGAGCTCCCGATTGCGAGCAGCAGCTACCGCAAGAAAAACCCGTACTGTGACCATCTTAGCGACAGGAGCAAACGTTTCATTGTAATCCAAACCGGCAACCTGATGATTACCCAAAGTGACAAGTCGGGCTTTCATGCGTTCAACACTTCCGTCGGAGTTATATTTGAGTTTATATACCCACTTACAACCCAAAGCCTTCTTATTTGGAGGTAATGGCACCATTTCCCACGTTTGATTATTTTCAAGGGCACGGATCTCATTGGCCATGGCTTCCCGCCAGCCTTGATGTTGCATGGCTTCAGAAAAAGAGCGTGGCTCTTGACCATGCAAAACTGCCACGATAAAGTCTCTGTGGGAAGCTGAAAATTTGTCAAAACAAATAAAGTTAGTGAGGGAATAGGGTGTACCTGGGGAACCACCGGCGAGAGACGAGGAGACTGGAACAGGACGTGTACTACTAGCTGCATGAGTCACGAAGTCACGGAGCAATACAGACGGCCGCCTTTCCCGATGCCCACGTCCCAGTTGAGTTTCGGGTGAAGGCTGCCCCGACAAAGAAGACTGGTCCGGTATGGAAGAGCTATCCCCAGCAGAAGATTCATGATTAGGAGGGACTGGTGGCGTGGGTAGAACATGTTCGTTCTCCTCAAGGCTAACTGTCTCCAATGCAGATTCGTCATCATCAAAACCCAAAGTAGAAGATATCGACACCGGGTCGGCAGAAGTATCCGGCTGAGGGGGCGTTGCATATGGGAATTCATGTTCATAGAAAATAACATCACGAGATACAAAATACTCGTGAGTGTCCAAATCAAATAATTTTCACCCCTTTTCCCATTAGGATATCCAACAAAAATACACCTACGACCGCGGGGAGCAAACTTATTGCCTTTGGCGCGCTGATTATGAGCAAAGCAAAGGCAACCAAACACACGCATTTCATCATAAGAAGGGGGATGTCCACAAAGCAATTCAAACGGTGTTTTATTGTCGAGAAGCCCAGAGGGAGTGCGATTAATTATATAGACAGCAGCAAGGATACACTCACCCCAAAAAGTGATCAGGAGATTAGCCTGAAACATAAGAACTCGGGCAACATTGAGTATATGTTGATGCTTACGTTCTACCCGTCCATTTTGTTGGGGAGTCCCAACACAAGATGTTTGAAAGATAATTCCATGAGATGCAAAATAATAAGACATACAAGTGAATTCCGTCCCATTGTCGGAACGAACAATTTTGACCGAGGTTTCAAACTGACGTTCGACCATGGCTAAAAATGAAGAAAGAACTTTAGAAACTTCGCTTTTAGCTCGTAATAAATACACCCACACACCACGGGAAAAATCATCCACAATAGTCAAAAAATAAATTGCATCACATGACGAAGGAATTTTATTTGGTCCCCACAAATCACAATGTATGAGTTCACAAATACGAGCTGCTTTATTTTGACTAATAGGAAAACTACCACGTGTCTTCTTGGCAATCGGACAAGCAATACACGTTTTATTCAGACCTTTTCGGCCACAACTACTTTTAATAATAGGAACTAACTTGAACACTCTGTCTGAAGGATTACCCAATCTCCGATGCCACAAATCAAAAATGCCAAAATCTGTCAGAGTGTTTAACTGAGCTTTAGGAATCCGCCGGAAGTAGTACAGTCTGTTCCGTCTCTCACCGGCTCTAATCAGGTTCCCCGAGAGTTGGTCCTGTATAGCACACAGATCATCAGTGAATCGAACAACACATTTAGAATCATCAATTAATTGCGTAACCGAGATTAAGTTACACATTAAATGAGGCACGTATAGCACATTTTTTAGAACAAAATTCTCAGACAAATTTACACTGCCGATCAAACTTGCCACGACTTGTTGTCCATTAGGTAGGCCCACCGTCCATTGATCAATAGAATTACAATTGGTGAGAGAGTCAGCATTACCCGTCACGTGATGAGTTGCCCCGCTATCAATTATCCAAGAATAGGAATTTGGCTTACCGCTCATGCGGTCCATCCCGGAAGTTCCTGTATTTAGCATATTAATGAGGGCTTGCACCTGTTCTGCACTAAGCTGAGGTGATGCTTCAACGCCATTGTCTGGTTTCGCGGCTTCATCCATCACAGCGTGCGCATGGGACTGTTTCCGTCCACCAGATCCACCATGCGAAGTACCAGTTCCGCTTCGAGTGGTCTGCTGCGTTTTTCCTCCTTGGTTACGGTCTGCCCACCATTCTGGGTATCCATAGATTTTGAAACAACTTCCCACCTCGTGCCCTTTCATGTGACAATGAGCGCACTTTAGCTTGCTCTTGTCAACACGCTCCTGGCGGCGTCCAGATTGTTCTGCCTGCAAAGCAAACACGTTAGAGGCATCTTTCATAGATTTTCCTCGTGCTATGTCCCTGGACTTCTCTTCTTGCTTCAAGGTTTGATAAGCCCGATCAAGGGTAACCGGCGTAGGCTGTGAGAGCAAATTGGAACGAGCCACTGAGTATATCTCATCATCAATTCCGATTAGCAGTTGATGAACCTTCTCTTCTTCTCTATCGTCTGTGAATTTCTTTGCGATATCACACGTACAAGCTCCACAAACGCACGCGTGTAAGGGTTTTAATCGAGCCAATTCAACAAACAGCGACATTAGCTGATTAAAGTAATCATCAAAGGTTTGTCCCTTATCCTGTTTGCAGTCCACGATATCCGCCCTCAACTGTTGAAGCCTTGGTCCGTTGGCTACACAGTATCGTTTTTCAAGATAGTCCCAAAGCGGTTTTGCTTCCACATGATAGGGAATAGAGGCTGCTATTTTCCCATCTATGCTTCGCAAAATCCACGAGACAATCATGGAGTTTACAGTTTCCCAATTCAGGAGTTTCCGTGCTTCATTCGGCTTACTTGTGGTTCCGTCGACGAAGAGAAATTTCCGTCTGGCTTTCAATGAAAGCTGTATTGCCCTTGCCCACGCAACGTAGTTTTCTCCCGTGAGAATGACGTGCGTTATCAAGTTCCCAGGCTGATCGCCCGAACCCAGGTAGTAGGGTGATGCTGCGTCGATTTTATCCTCTCCGGCCATGGTGTTCTGCGCGACTTGCGACACTGGTGCAAACGCTCACAGTATAACGAGGGTCGAAGACAATAATCGAGATGGTTTACCAAGCCCACGTCTCTGATACCATGTTGCAGTAATTAGGGTATAAAATTATGTTATTCATTCCATTCAATACTGCCGTATATATACAAGGGAGAAGGCTATGTACTCGAGCCCTACTATACATCATAAATGGGCCAATAAGAATAAATAATAAATACAAGTGTAATAATATGGACCGGTTAACAGTTTGACACTGTTTTGCACTGTTTTGGTAAAGATTTGTTTACCAAATAAGGAAATAAGGAAGTGTGACATCCATTTTGAAACTTCCAAAAAAGGAAAGTGTGTCAAACAAACTAAAACGGAGGGAGTATCAGATTACACTTGACCATATATCATCATCATCATTACCTCAGTGCCGCAAAGGCTCCCACCAACGGTATGGTAAGTGGGGGTCGGATGTACGCAATCTTACCCGTGTACTAAAGCACATAGAGACTATTTCCTAATGACCCATAGTGAAAATCGTGTCAAAAAATACATGGACTGACTATTGTTTTATAACAAAGAAGCACTAACAGATTCGTGAGCCATTTTACTTTATTCAATCATATTCTCAAATTAAACAAGATTGAAATGACTTGACTTGACTTAAATATACAAAATACACATAACATGAGGTCGATTTTATGGGACCAAATCAATCAATTTAGTTGAGACCTATATTTAAATAGATTATTCAAGACTAAACTTAAGCACATTATGTCAACTTTACTTCTCATTTATTCAAAATTTATCAGATCAATGTTAAAACATTTCTTCTTTTGATTATTTTACATTTTGAGTCGTTATTTGATCTGTGTAATCCAACAAATAGCATTTGAATTTCAGACACCAAGTTTCAAACAATAATCTCTAAACATAACCTATGCTCAATGATAAATAAAACGATAGTATGCAAAATGATCTCTTATCCCAAGTCTTTATACTCTATATTCTATAGTACTCCTCATGTCAAAAAAAAGAGTTGATCGCACTGCGCCACGCAGATTAATCCAACGGACAGCATAAGATAGGGTTTATATAAGTGAGTGCAAGAAAACAGTGTTGATGGAATATGGTCCGACCACTACCCAAAACACCAATCAAACAACATTCTATCATCATGTGTCCTACTCATCACTTACTATATAAATAGAAGCAGACTGTGCCTTTCACTCTCACCCCTCTCTATACTATCTCCTCCCCTTAACTTCAGCAAAAATGAAACTCTCATTTTGTTAGTTTCTCACAAAACACAACTATTAAATCCAAAAAAATCCAATCTTTTTAACAAAAGGCTTAATAGAAAGGCAAATATATAATAATAACGATTAAAGATATTAAAAAAAAATGCTTCTCCGAAGCTCCTCAACTCCATTACTCAACTTCCCTCTACCATGGATTTCAAATCAAACCTCATCTCCAGAATCGTATAATTGTTTATCTCTTCATTCTATGATGAAGCTTTCAAGATCATCATCCTGGGTTGGTGGGTCTCAGAGGAAAATGGGCAGAGCTCTCCTCGAAAGAAGATCATCTCTACCATCATCATCACGGAAGTGCGTTCATGGCCATGGATGGCTTTCTGCAGCTCAGGGTGATGTAAAAGAAGAAGAAGATGAAGAAGAAGAAGAGGTTTTGGTGCTTTTGAAATCTGGGTTGAAAACAGAGGAGATGCAGGGGTTTGAAGAAGAGGCGGCGAGAAGGAGGAGCGTGGCGGTCGCCGGGGATTATGGGGGCGGCGGTGGGAGGGAGGGAGGTGTGAATAGGTTTGGGAATTGGGATCCAAATAATGGAAGTGAGAAGACTGATGTGTATTACAAGAAGATGATCAAGGCTAATCCTGGGAATCCTCTGCTTCTTGGCAATTATGCAAGGTTCTTGAAAGAGGTATATTTATTGAAAATCATACTCCTTATTAATTTATTTATGACGATAGATTCTATCGTACCCATAAGGTATCATACCTTTGTCTACATGGACCAATCAGAATGATGCAATTTAATTATTTAAATCTAAATTACAAGTGATATAATGATTTGGACCAATCAAATGCATGGTAGAAACAGATACTCCATTTTTTTAATAGATAGTGAATTTGTCACCTTAATTTATTTCAAACTTGACATGAACTTACGTGAATCGTTTGAGAACTTGCTGAAGATAAAGCTTAATTTCCGGGGGAAAAAACCTTTCCTAAGAAATACATACGATAGTACTTTATTCCAAATTTGGTGTTATGGTCCACACTTTTTGGGTACACTTTTACGGAGTAGCATATTTCGTCTGTGTACATGGACATAATTATTTGTACTACTTCCAGTTTTATTTAGAGCGTCTCCAATGCTAAAATGTTAACGGTGTATACGTGACATGAAAAATAACCAATTAAAAAACAATAAATACAATATCTTTCTCCTTATTTGAAGGATCTTACATCATTTTGGTAAGTTTTTCTTCACAATGTCAAGCACAATGTCTAGATGTAGACATTGTGATTGACATTGCAGACAAAAACTTACCATAAACACATAAGACCGTGGAAAGAAGGAGAGAGATATTGTATTTATTGTTTTTTAATTGGTTATTTCTCATGCCACGTATGCATCGTTAACGTTTTAGCATTGGAGATGCTCTTAATCTTCACACTTTGACTTCACACAAAATAAGGAAAGAAATTTGACTTTACTGTAGAGTACACTGTTGAGGCACTGTTTGACACTGTTTGGCTCTGTAGAGACACTGTTTGGCATTGTTGAGACACTGTTTGACACTGTTTTGATGTAGATTTCTTTGCCAAAAAAGGAAATAAAGAAGTGTGAAATTTATTTTAGACCGTCCCAAAAAGGAAAGTGTGAAGTTTATTAAAAACCGGAGGGAGTATAATATATTCCATTCCTATTGAAATACCCACTCTGTCTCAAATACAGTAGTTATGTTTGATTAATTTTAATAGTTACCTAAGTGTTAGATATTATTGAAAAAGTGAATATTACCTGAAATATGATTAAAAAGGTTTGAAAATTCCAAAATAAGACTAATTACTGTCATGTTTTGGCAGTATCAGACTCCAAACATGGCAGTATTTTCCAAACTTGGCAGTAATTACTCTCATTTTGGGAGTAAAAAACATGACAATCATATTTTGGAATTTTCAAACTGTTTTAGTCTTATTTCTGAAACTTTCCCTAAAAAAAATTTGTTTGTAAAATTTACCTATGATAAAATATAAATCTAACTCTTAGAAATCATTAATAAATAGAGTTTTTTACATTTTTGGTCCCCGACTATTGTGTCATTGACACTTTTGGTACTCGACTTTTAATTTTTCCAATTCTGGATATTAATGATTTTAGTCCTTGACTTCAAAGTTTTCCTCATTTAGTCCTCTGAATATTATCAAATTGATATTTTTAGTCTTTCCACTGATTTTGATACAATAAATGAAGGACTAAAAAATGTCAAAATTCTAATAGTTGAAGGACCAAAAGTGTCACTTTTATGAAATTCGGAGAACTAATTATGAAAATTTTCAAAGACATGTACCAAAAGTGTCTCTAGCAAGATAGTCAAGGACTAAAAGTGGAAAAAATCAAAGTCGAGTACCAAAAGTGTCAATGACATAATAGTCGAATAACTAAAAGTGGCAAAAACTCTTAATAAATACTACGGGCTAGTAACTAGTAAATAAGAAGTGGGTCATATACTGGTCAAAGCTGAAGTTGGCCTAGTAAAATTCACCTTTGGTGTACTCTACAACCAAGTAATATAATTCGTAGTTCGCACATCTTTCTATCATCTATTTACAATTTCACATGAATATGATGAAACTCAATTCTTTATAGCGGTTATGTATTAACAATCCTTGAGTTCGACCATATGAATTAAAAAACATGTTAGTCAGCTCTTCAATAAGCTAGTTTTAAGAAACAGGTCAATATACAATTTACACAAAGCATGATTCAGAATGTAAATTTATAAAGACTATAAGATCATTTATCCCTTCTCTTTTATCCTCTCGAAAGAAGAAAGATTTGGATTGGTGCTGGGTGCCTGGGTTATGTGTAGCAATGTAGGGGAGGATCTACGTTATGCGCTATGATGAATTGAAGTCCAGGATAACTAGTTTTTTTTGCTCATTTTTAAGTGTAACAGTTTTCATTTTTTATATTTAGCTCACTACTATAATGTTGCATAATACGAAGTATAATTTCTCTTTAGCCCAGTATATATGAGATTCTGGATCCGCCCTTAATTATATGAATGTAAATTGTGAGCTTAATTTACCCAAATAAGTTACCATCATTTGTTTTGAACTATAATATAAATAGGTAAAGGGCGATTTGATCAAGGCTGAAGAATATTGTGGTAGATCATTGTTGGCAAATCCAAGTGATGGAAGTGTAATGTCATTGTACGCGGAATTGATATGGCAATCCAATAAGAATGCAGCTGCAAGAGCTCAGACTTACTATGATCAAGCCATTCAAACTTCTCCCCATGATTGGTAAGAAGTAATAATCAAATCAATTCAATAGGCATTCAAATTTATATTCATTCCCGGCCAATATCTAATAATTTTAATAAGATACTTTCAAAAAAATAACAATAAGATATATTTTGGCTGTTGTGATACATAAAGAGTGTTTGCATTTGCTCAAAAAGCATCTCTTTGTAAGGATAGAAACATTGATTTCAAATACTTCGCATGTATTTTTTGTTATTAACTTTAAACACTTTTTAAAAGCGGTGAAGTGGTGAAGCATACGAATAATCGTTTTCAACTTTTTCTATAATATTTTATCAAGATATACAAAAAAAAACTTTTTTTCAAACAATCTAATTCTTTTTAAAAATTACATTTTTATTTTCAAACACTCTCAAGTTTTACAAGAGATCACTTTCACTAAATTATGGAATAAGTTAAGTGGAGGCAAATAAAAACACTACCATAAAATGAAAGTCTCTCTTGTTTATGATTTCGTGGAGAGCATATCTGTTTCATTATCAAAGGGGTGATTACGCCGTACCATATTTGATCCTTGATTGTTTTTTCACTTTAAATTTAGTGAATGGTTATATATTCTTGTCTTTTTTGGTATTTTCGGCTACTTATCTATCAAAGCCGAACCAAAAGATGAAAATGGAGCACATAGTTTTTGCAAGAATAAAAGTGGTAAGAAATTCATAATAAAAATGAAGAAAGAAAAGCACAACAAGAATCAAATATGATCTTATTGTCTTCAAATTAAGAGTGAAATACTTTCTTATGTCATGCCATGTTAATTTTGACATTCCAAGTTATCTAATTAAGTTCTCGTTTTTGCATGAAACAAAGTTATGTTTTGGCATCCTATGCACACTTTCTATGGGATGCGGAGGATGAAGAAGAAGATGAGAATGATAAAAACGAAGGGCGACAAAACATCGAGTACTTTGCTGATAGATCAAAACCTTGTTTGGTTCGATGAATAATGCAACTTAATTTGGTTGAGAATCAGTTACAACTTGCAAGAAATAGAGATAAATTTGTACATAAACCGTTGGTTCTTAATTATTAATGTTATGCTTGTAACATGTGTTTTCTTTTCTCCTTATTGCATGCTATTTTTCACCATTGGTACAAGAAGCAGAGGTGCCTCAGTTCCTGTGACACTCATTTAATATGTGATAAATATTATATCAATATCATCTATGATTGTGCCAAGATAAACACTTCAAAAGTTCACAGTTAACAATCTTTGGGATTTTGAGCACATTAGTATAACTTTAGTCAATTTTAACATCCCAAACAATCTTGAACATGTTTCTCAGTTGATATATGGCGAATGTAATCTCAGTACCTTATCATTGGTTAATAAAAGATCAGGTGGCCATTGTAGATGCACTCTCCCTGCTTAGTCATCAACATATTCAATTTCAATTGAAAATTGGCTTTTATGAACATTTAATCTATTATTATAATAAATGTTTCATGATAAATGTCAATATCCTTGATTATAATGAGACTTGGATTTGTGACTTCCTCTTTAGAATGTAATGGTAATATCATCAGATCACAAGGCACTCGATTCGATTTGGTAAAACTTAAAACTGTACTCAGCTTTTTTGAGAGAGGTGGATGATTTATGTCATATCGATAAAATTAGGAAAAATTGAAAATAATAATACTAACTATTGCCGGTCCGCTGACAATAATCCCAACTATTGATTGTTTTTGTATAATCCCAACTATATGGACCGTCCGCCAATAATGGTCCATGACCAGATATTACTATACCTACTATAACAAGTGAATTTTAAATAGAAGTTAAGCGTAAAAAATAAAATTCGGGATTATTTATAGGGATTACTTGATATATCTCTTATCATTCACTTTAGAAACTACAACAATTTATTTATAGGGATCATTATTGGCGGAAGATCCCTAAAGTTGGAATTATTCTGAAATAATCGATAGTTGGGATTATTATAAGCGGACCGCCAATAATTGACATTATTACTATTAATTTTTCCTAAAGTTAGTCTTTAGTACGGAGTATTTTTTATGCTATCTTATGTTAGGTGGTATGTGAAACAAAGTGTTGTTTGTGGAATTATGGTTGATTAGGAGATTCTGTCTATTTGATACCGTATGTTTCCCCCGTTTTGAATCAGGGACATTTTTAAAACAAATTACTCACTAATGATAAATGATGGTATTAGAAAAAGTCCCAATTTTTCTTATCTATTTAATTTATTTAATATTTATACTATGCCAATATCTAAAGTTTCACACATAACAATAAATTAACATGAACAATGTTGTTTTCTTAGATTGAAAATTTCTGATCTTATCTGGAATGTTGAAATGATAGATACTCCTTATTTGTTTTATGTGTATTTTGGGCTATGTTTGGGTGACCACTTAAGTTCAAAATGAGCTGAAATTTGATAGAACTAGACAATTAAATGACATATGATTACATTTGGAATAATTATATGAAATCATACCTAGTATGACTTGTGTGACTTTACTTTGCCACTTAAATGTTTTTAATTGAAGTATACTACCTCCGCCCCTAAGTTTGGGGCAAAGAGGTTGATGGAGTATATGACCCAGGAACCCCCGGCCCATAGACTCCTACTTCTCCTACACAAGTCCATTGAGCCCAGAGAACAACTCAGGCCCAAATACAACGGCCCAAGCCTCAAAGTAGCCCAGAATACACCCTGGGGTGCCTTCGGCCTCCTTGGCCGAAGGCTCCAAAACTCACAGGATAGCCTTCTCTGGCATAAGAAGCTGCTGGGAGAAAACGGGCGAAAACACGAGCCTTCGGCATTCTCATGCCCCGGCACCAGGGGAAGCCTTCGGCTGATCCAAGCATTCGGCTACACGAGGAGCCCTCGGCTGCACAAGGAGCCTTCGGCTACACGAGGAGCCCTCGGCTACACGAGGAGCCTTCGGCTACACGAGGAGCCTTCGGCTACACGAGGAGCCCTCGGCTGCACAAGGAGCCCTCGGCTACACAAGGAGCCTTCGGCTGAACAAGCCCAATCATCGAAGATTCCTTTTAGAGACAGCCAACCACCGCATTTAATGCCACGTCGCATCCGCCAACCGCATTCAATGCGGTTGACGTACCACTGCCGGTGCCACCAGGCTGATGTGACCCTTCGGCCGTTGGATTACTGACACGTGTCCTCTCATCGCATTTATTGCTGCTATAAATAGCAGCCCATTTCTCCTTGTAATGGACATAATCTACATCTCAACTCCACATCTCGAGTTCATTTAATAAAATCGACTCTCTCTCCTCCTATTTACTCTGACTTCTCTCTAAGTTATTCCTGTAATAACCCCTCGGAAAGATACCCCCCGGGTAGACTATCCATCATTTGGTGCTCTCGTTGAGAGGTCAGAACAATCAAGTAAGAAACCCTCCCCTTCTACCAAACACAAAACACTCACCAAAAATGGGAAGAACCACCCGTGCCCAATCCAAAACCTTGGAGGAAAACCACGTAGCCCCCGGCGAAACCAACGGGGCTGAGGCCTCCAACAGGCTCTTAGTGCCGGAGGGTGGTATTATCCTCGAGTTAGAGCAAGCCACCGCTGACCTACGTCAGCAGCTGCAGAAGAACACCCCCGATGCCCGCATTGGCCTTGATAATCGAAGGAGAGATCGGAGTGAGAACCAAGTTCCCCCTCCGGCCTCGGCCATCGATCTTCAGGCTGCCTTTGCGGCCTTTGTTCAAAACATGGCTCTCAATTCCGGCGCCCTCGCCTTTCAGGCACCCCTTCAGTCCTATGCTGGAGGGAATGTTATCAACCTACCACCACTCCCTCCTTTGTTCAACAACCCTCCCCCGGGGGTTGGAAACCACGAAGGGGTCATAGCGCAGGATACCGCCTCCCAGGAGGCTCAATCCAGGGACAAGCGCCCCATGATGAAAGAGAAGCCCCGAACCTCTGCACTCGAGAGGCTAGGGGGAGCTCCCGGGTCCCGAGGGGTCCAAGACCGCCTCGGGAAACAAGCGCTCAGCAGGCCCCAGGAAAGCGGAGCCTCCGCTTTGGGTGCCGAGGGCGTACCTCCCCCCCGAAGCAAAGGCAAAGCCCTCCTCCATGCCGATGACGCCAGGCACCAAATCAATCAGGCGCAATCCTTCCGGGCCAACTCCCAAGGGGTTGCCCCGAAGGATCCTAAGGACGAAATCATCGAAGCCCTCCTCCGTCAACTTGAGGAGAATCGTCAGGCTCCCCCGACGGCTTCCACAGCGAGGCCAGATCCAGAGTACGCTGACCTCCGGGCGCAAGTGGAGGAAATGAAGCGTAAGTTCGCCGAAGGTTCAGGCGAGCCCCTCATTCAACTCCGCACTAGAACACCCTTCACCCCAAGGGTGTTGGCGGCCAAAATCCCCCACAAATATCGGGGGCAACCCATCAAGCCGTATGAGGGGAAGACGGATCCCCAGGAGCACTATAGCCGTTATCAGAACAGCATGATGATGATGGGGGCATCGGATGAATACTTATGCCGTTGGTTCCTTTCCACCTTGGAGGGACCCGCGTATGAGTGGTTCAACCGGTTGCCCGAAGGCAGCATTGATTCTTGGCAAGAACTTGCCCGCCGCTTCCTTACGCAATTTGCTGGGAGGCATCGCTCAAAGAAGCACTTTTCCCACCTTCTAAACGTGAGACAGCAGAAGGAGGAAACCCTTCGGAGTTTCCTGGAACGCTAGAGGCAGGCCTCCCTCGAGGTCGAAGGCGCTGATGACAGGACGCTAATGGCCCTCTTCCACACCGTCCTCCGCAACGGTAACTTCTCCCGGAGCCTTATCACTGATCCCCCCCGCGATTATACAAAGGCCCTTCAGCGGGGGGACCGATATGCCGAAGCGGAGGAGATCGAGAAGGACCGCCGCAACACGGATCCTTCTCAGAAGAATGAAGGCAGGAACCGGCCCGGAGGACCTCCTCCTCCGGCCAACCGCGAGGCTCAATATAATGATCGCCCCCGAGGTGGCCAAGCCAGAACCGGGGGCGGTTACAAGAATAATCCGAAGGCATGGGCGCAACCCGTCCTCCTCGAGCACCCACGCACCCCCTTGACGCATCCCGTCAGCATCATTCTTGATCATGCAGAAGAGCGGGGGCTCGTTGAGCGAGACTCCCGTACACCCCTCGAGATCTATGCCATCGGTCCTGATGAGCCCTACTGCCGCTTCCACCGCCACCATGGACACAAGACCGACGACTGCCACCAACTAAAAAACGCCATTGAAAGGCTGATACAGGCGGGCCACTTGTCCCAATTTGTCAGGGGCCCTCCTCCCCAGGGCCCCCCTCATCATCAAGGGCCTCCGCCAAAGGCAAACAAATGGGTAAACCCCAACACCATCCCCCTGGGGAACCCACAGGGGAAGAAACGTGAAATTGGGGGCCTCGAAGACGAGGGAGAAGGCTCCCACCAACAATATAAGCGCCACGTCCACATGATTAATGGTGGCAACACTGGTGGAGACTCCACCAGCCAGCGAAAGAAGTGGGCTCAATCCCTTTACGTCGGGGAAGTCAATCACATGCCCCCAACTAAAAGGCCAAGGGCGGATCCAATCTTCTTCACAGATGCGGACCTCCCCTCGGGTTCTCTGCCGCATAGAGACGCCCTCGTCATCCGCACTGAGATCAACGACGCCATCATCCACCGGACTTACGTCGACACGGGGAGTTCTGTCAACGTCATGTATCTTAGCACTTTCCAAGAGTTGGGACTCGACAGGGGGTCCCTCCGACACATCAACACCCCCCTCTCCGGATTCACGGGGGACAGCATAGACGCCGAGGGCGTCATCACCCTCATGGTTGAATTCGGCGACGGATCCCATAGAGCCAAGCTCGAAGTGGAATTCGTCGTCGTCAACCTCGACTGCGCACACAACATCATCCTCGGCCGGCCCGCCCTCGAGGATTTGGAGGCCGTCATCTCTATGAGGCATCTCTGCCTCAAGTTCCCCACACCCACCGGCATCGGCTACTCGAGGGGGAATCAAAAGCTCTCCAGGGCATGCTACCTTCAACTTACCAAGAAGGTTAGTAAGACTGAACTTCGTGTTGACACAATCACCACCAAAGCCTTGGAGGAAGAGGAAGGCAGGCCGAGGGCTGAGCCTGCTGAGGAGACTGAAGACCTGATACTCAATCCGGCCAAGCCGGAGAGAGTCCTGAAGATCGGAGCCAAGCTCCC